CCTGACTTTGTGTCTTAGGAGGTCTGTCTCAGATGCCTTTTGGGAACTATGGAAAGAAATTCCAGTGTGCCGGCAATGTTCCTTCTAAAGATGACTGATACTCCTAAGATTTACCTTTATTTTCATCCTTTACTTTGGGCTGCCTATGCTCCTCTATGCTATTGCAATAGTCGAGAAACTGGCTGGTCATCTCTGGGGTCAGTCCCCATTTATCTCTCTATCCTGCTTAGATTTCTCCATTCACGGTGCACATGGCCAGTGTCTTGTTCAACCTGTTTCCAAAGCACCAGAGGGGCTATCAACTCCGGTGTCTTTACCAGCCCCCATGTTCTTCCTTCCATTCTGCAACTTCCACTATTGACCACTTCTATGATATTCCTCCTTTGGTCAAGCCGGTAGGCTCTCCTCCTTCTCTGTTATTTGGAAGCCTTTAATCCCCTCTGCACTACATCCATAAATATCCATCATCCTTACCATCCTCAGAAGGCTCTTGGCTCCAGGGCAAGCATAAGTCCTTCTTGCCCTGGCTTTCCCACTTGACTACTCTCAGCTTAGGTTATAGAACCAAGACTCTTTCATGCTTCACCATTTTCCACACATGGGATGGACACTCACTGAGTTGGCATAGGCTGGTGGTATTATTGCTCTACACTGAGATATTGTGCACATTAAACTACATAATCTGAGAACAAATGTCTGGTAAATTCTTTCAGAATATCAGCCTTTTCTCTTTTCTACCTGTTCAAATAAAAGTTTCATTTAAAGCCTTTGTATTCACATGAGATTTGATCATAGAAGATAATTTTCCTTAAAGGATTTACATCCTTTAAGTCTAGGCTCCTATTTATTCATTTAACAAAATGCAGTCAGGTTCCAAATTACGTATTTTATTTCTTGCTTTGAGCACATTGATAGAAGCTATTGTTAGCCATATGTTCTTTATATCAGTCTATTCAAAGTTCTTTGTTAACCTGAATGGTAAAAATCCTAGAGGAGAACACAGGCAGTAGCCTCTTTGACATCGGCCGTTGCAACTTCTTTCTAGATATGTCTCCTGAGGCAAGGGAAACAAAAGCAAAAATAAACTGTTGGGACTTCATCAAGCTAAAAATCTTCTGCACAGTGAAGGAAACA